CGGCGAGAGTATCGTTCGAAAGTCAGGCCTCGGGTAACGGCGACGAGGAAAACACGACGGAAACGGAACGGGAGGAGAGGAAACCGGGATCTCGTCGAACGGACGCGAGCCTAGACGAAAGGAGAGATCGCGGCGGCGTCGGGCGGTAGGGGCGGGCCGGCGAGCAAGAAAGTTGTCCGGGTAACCGACGCGGAAACGCGAGGTAATGACTACTTTTTCATATTTTAATTACGCAGTAATTAATTGAAATGTTTCCCCGTTCGCGAGGGCACTCGAGCAAAATGAGAGGCGAGTATAACTCCGCGGAGCCAGCTTCGACTTGTTTCCTTTTTTCTCTCTCTCTCTCTCTCTTCTCCCGCGCCTTCGTCTCTTTCCCTTTTCCTCTGTTACGCCGTTTCCTTTCTCGCGTCTCCCTTTTCTTCTTCCCGCGGAAACGGGATACATACCCCGGCGTAGCGGCGCAAGTCTCCACGGTGTTCGCCTCCGAGAACATTCCCGTTTTCTTTTCCCCGCGTTCTTTCACCCTTTCTCGCGAAATTAAGTAGAAGCCTTTTCACGAAGCTCGCCTCTCTTTTGAATTGAAAAATCCAGCGTGCAGCTAATTGTACCGTTAATGGGTTTAACGTGAAAGGATTCCGCTGATAACGGTTCCCGGCGGTGCCCTCCCTCCTATTATCAGCGACCGCCCTTACACGCGCTCCCGCGTTCGCGCGCGCGCGCCCCGCCCCGCCCCGCGCGCAGCTCTTCGTTGCTTAAAGTGCTAATTAAATTAGTTTCGTAAAGCGGAACCCGCGGCCAGACACGAGAGTTCGAGGCTATCGATTCCCAGGGCGATCATTAAAATAATTACGGCCGCTCGCCGGTAATTGCACGGATATTCTATTGGCTCGGCGACGAACGGGTTGTGCAAAGCGGTGTCGGGCGGTGTCGATCGTTGCCGCGCTGTTATCGATCACGATGCGTCCGGGATACGTCCGACGATTAACGCGTGATCCTCGAGCGACGTTAACCGGGGAATCATCGTCGCGTGACACAGTCATCGTTTCACGTTCGAGAGGAGCCGAGAAAGTTTTCCGGTGAGTTAAGCTCTCTCCCGGCGCTCGCGCGCTCGCGCACGCTTCCCTGGCGTCTGTTCCTCCTGCAAGGTTACTCTTTCCCGTCCGGCTGCTCGGAGGGCGCCGTTTCAGGCTAGCTGTCTCGATATCTCGAGAGCCGCGGAGGATGCTTCGTTACTCGTTATCCGAGGCTGAAGCTCGTCGCTGCGCGCCGGGGGAACAATGGCGAGACACGAGATGCAAGAAGAAGACGGAGCGAAACACAGCGAAAACGAGAGGACCGCTGGCCGCGCTTTTGTTAGCGCGGATGCTTGCCTACGTGCAATTGTCATCCGCTCGTCCCGGCCATTGTTTCCGGTAACCCTTTCGCGGTAACGAGGAGGAACCTCAATTAGAACGGTTTGAGGACTTAAACGCCCAGAGGCTGCCGGGTTTTAAGAGGCAAGGATGCACCAACACACCGCGCACCGCGAGCATCGTTACCAGCGGACGATACCTCGGTGATACGTTCCGGCGTATCGGTGTTCGCGGGAACGTTGCAGGAGCTTTCCTCGTCGCGGTAATTACTACGCTCGAGGATATCGTATCTCGCCGCGTCCTCCAGAGACGAGGCTTTGTCGCGCGTCGTCTAAACTTCTGCGACGAACAACAGAATCGATAGCGTCGCGTAAACAACGATATCCTCGCGAACACGTCGCGTAAGCTGCGGAGTCGGAAACCTTTAATCGCGTCACTTTGTTCCTCCTCGTGCATCGATCGAACGATAAATCGAACCGTTTCACCGGAACACGCGAACACGTCGACGCGAACGGGGGAACCGCTAACAGGCCAATCGCGCCACCCCGCCCGTTCCGATCAATTGTGGGCGAATGAATAATAGAAACGGGCGCCTCTACCTCTCAGCTGGTATCCTGATGGACAAACACGGCGACGCTTTGAAGCTCAAATTGGAATAAATCCTGTTATCCTTCCGATATTAACTCGGCCGTCAGCTCGCCGCCCCGTGGAACCGTCGATCGATCGGAGCCCCCGTTTAGCCTGTCCGCGATTCTGCGGCACGCGATCCATACTCGCACGGAAAATCCGCCTACAAATCGGTTTAGTCGACGGAGTAATCTTCGAGGCACTAATGCCGCGAGAAATAGACAATTTTCCGTAGCGTCGGTTCAAACGAATATCGAATCAATATTTGTTTCGTCGCGAGCCATCGGAGGTGTGGTAACGGTCGCGGGGTTGCGCCGTGTATACACGTATATATTATATATACACATACACGTGTATACATGTGTACCTATATGTGTACACACCGTGTACACGTAGAGTCGCGGTCCGTTATCGGAAATCCATCCGGATATCTGGAATTTTTTTTCGGTGGCACACGCGACTCGCTTCATGATCGCCTGTGACGCGCAGCCAAAATTAAGACGTACGAAGACGAAGCGAGTTCGACGGCGGATAAATAAACCTCCGATAAGGAGACGTCGCGATATCTTGCTATCCGTTCCGTCTTCCCCGAGATCGTTCTTTTCCCCCGACGACCGCGAACGGAACGGTTCCGGAACCGTCTCGGTGGTTCATGATCTCCGTCGTCTTACCGTTCCGCCGGAAGCTTTCTTTCGCAACGGTGTCTTAACTCTCCGTACGTCGCCGTCGGTCACCCTGGAAGGAACGGCGCGTCGGCGACTGTTCAGCTACTATGATCCTGTTATCCTGGCGAGCGACGAACGCGCGGCTACGTCGCGAACGAGCGTCCTGGATCCGCGAGGACATCGCTGTTGAGTTATGGGGTCCTGGTGGCGCGGATGCTTCCGGCGCCACGCGGTTGACGAGTGACAGGACGTTGACGAGGCCCGAAGGACGTCGCGGCTCCTCGAAGCCTCGGAAGAAAGCTTGTCGCCCTCGACGTCGATCGACGGAGCGGACCGTCGGCGAGTTCCGGCTGGCATGGGGTCCTGGTAGACGGAATACTTAACGTGCGCAAGCTCGGCCGCCAAGGATATCGAAGGGAATTCGGCTCGGTCTGTACGTACCGGTTCGCATGGTCCCCTAGTGGCATTGGACGTTCGTAAGATACGAGCGCGCGTCGTCGCGTCGCCGGACCCAACGGACGTTGCTTCGCTCGTCACCGTTTCCAGGATAGCATGCCGGTCGGGACGAACCTGTCCAGGTCCGTCTGGTCGGTCCGGATAATTGTCGCCGCGTTATGCGAGCCTAATGCGTCTGCGGTTCGCCGGGAAAAAAAAATTCCTTCGGACGTGTATGGTGGTCATGGTGTACGCCGCTCGTCCTCGACACATGCTCGCCGCGTTTTCGGGATATAGGGCTGCAGGCTCTCCAGAAGGATGGAATCGCAGGGGATGTCCTGGCACGCTGTCCTCGCTTCCTTCTATCCTGTTATCGGAGCTTATTTCGTCTTTTGAAGTTTCGTCTATCGTTTGTCGCTCGCGCGACGCTTTGTTGACCTGTCTAAAAATGATCGTTCTGCGAGAAACCGTCGTGTCCGTCAGGCGTGACGCGCAGCGCTACCACTGGCGGAGAGATAGTTTCGGATCTTACCTTGCGGGGCAGTAATTTCGAACGGATAATACCGTGTAAAAGCGAAAGGAAGAGTCGTCGTTCATTGATTATCGGCTGTTCGACGTTCGTCCTGTTGCCAAGGGAAGGAAGAGCCACTTGCCTTGGAAAGCGCTTTTTCGTTAACCGTTCCGAACGGTAGACCTCCGTTCGCCGCTACTTCCCTATGTTCCGACTTCCTGTTTCCTTCCGGTGTTTACGCAGTTTCCTGTAACAGGAATCGCCTATCGGGGGTACGACGGCGGGTTCAATTAATCGGCGTAGATTTACGAGAAGACGCTCTTTTTTACATGCTCGTTAAAATAAACGATCGCCAGTTGGGCAGCGTGAAACTTAGGCTTTTCGTTGGCTTTCGGGAAACTCGGAAAATTTCGATTCGCGTGATTACCGCGCGGAATGTAAATGTCAACGAGTCGATGATATTTACAATTCGATTCCTGGCGGATGTGCTCTCCTAATATCGAGAACATCGAGTGTAATTCGGGAAATCGCTCTTCAGAAAAGAAAAGACTTGTCAACTGGAGGGCGAGGAGGCCAGGATTTCATCCCCCGAAGAAAGTCCTGCGCGTGTCCTGCGACGGCGAGCGACCTACCACGCACTATGCACCCTTAATCCGGAAATATGCTTCGCGTTTGAGGCAATTATCCCCATTAACGTAGGCGTCGCGTCACTCTAATCCGTTCTTTTTTCGTATATTGCTTTTCCATGGCCAGTAAAATTGGAAAGTGAGAACGTTCAATCCCTGGTGATACATGTAACGTGGAATATGTGAACATATATGCATGTAATAAACAAAGTGGAGTCCAAAGGGAACCCTAAAAACTCGTAAGGCTACGGTCCTTGTACTTTTTCTAAGAAAATCTTAACCGTGAACATTCTGAAGATTATCCTTCGAGTTTCAGAATTCGATGCAGAGTATACTTTAGCTTCTGCCCTATTATGTACATTTTCGAAACGAAAGCACTTTTTCTACCCTTAACTCGTTCACGAGTCCAACGAATGTAATAAATTCCAGTGATCAGATATAGAATAATTTATTCTTTCTGGGGAAACGATGATTTTAATTAATGAATTGTAAATGTTAATTTACTATTTACTACGTTAATTGTCGATACGAATATAAGGGGAACATCTGTGTTCGAGTTCGAAATCTATAATGTTGCGGAGACGGATGCCTAAACTACCAGGACAACAGGACTCGTTAGAAGTCACGGAACTTTCACCCTCGCAAGGGGTGGGAACTTTCAGATACTCCCCTTCGCGATAGATCTATTCGTACTTGTTGACAAGCATGAAAATTCTCTAGAAAAAATTGCGATTTCTTTTCTACTGATCATGAGAGTATTGATTTAAGTACTATAAGTTCTTTCTCAGAGGAAATCGTATGCCGACTTAAACGCGCAAGGATCGTTGAAAGCGTTGGAATCAGGTTCGTCGTCGGGATCGAATTCAATGTTCATTGGGTCGATCTCAGGCGGAGCCTTTGGTACCCTCAATTGTTGATTCGGGGCTGGACGCATTAAACATGCCTCCACCTTTTCCCGGACGGCCTTTTCATTCTCGTTTCCATCGATCTTCACTGCGGATTCGCCCGCGTACCGCATCATGTCCGCTACATTCTCTTCGAATTCCTGTAGCTGCGGTTTATCTACGATTAGGATCGTCAACAATTCGAAGCATTTATTCTAAACTGTCAACCGGATAATATCATCGCTCGTGACAAGCTGATAGCAATCCGAAGTCATGCATGATCCGTGAAATCTAACCATAATGTTACCCCGAGTGACAAAGAATCCTCGCGGAATAAAAGAAAAATGAATTACGGAAGCTCGCATTGTTCGACACAGTCGAGTCATCTCTTCTCCGGTTTACAGGTTAAGGGAGAAATCTTTACATCTCGCTCGACGATCAGCCTGTAGTCCCTCGGGTGGACGCCTAATTCGCAATCGCGATCGTGACTTTTCGTGGACAAATCGTGTTTGCTGCCCGTGACGATGTTATAGCGACGATCGAGCAGCCTTTCTCTGCAAACATCTCCGCTCGCTTCGACGAATATCACTCTGAAACGTTTGGTATGTTCAACGACACCCTTATTTGCTTCCGGAAAATACTCATGAAATTGTGTAACCTGTTCGGAGGGGTAGAACTGAGGTCTAGCAGCTTAAAATCGTCTACCGTCTTCGGGTATCCGGTTAAAACCCAACCCCTTTTCAGACATTCGTAGCCGAATATGTATTTCTAAACATATTCCATCGTAAGTGTTAGCTTAAACGATACTAAGGAACAGCTTAACACGTTAAGCGCCATGTCAGCCACTGGTGACTGACGCTTCTGAATGACTAAAAAACAATCGTAACATACAAGACAACCGATGTGAAATAAAAATGTTTAATAAAGCAACTAGGTTGATAATAGTGTAACGCAAACGTTGCAACGCCAAACAATTCATAAGTATTCCTACTTTTCTTTGCTACGAAAGACAAACTCTATGGGAAAACGCTTAAGATTTTCGTGGCGCTTAACGTGTTAAGAGTGACCGCTCGCTTCTTTATACCTCGACGATCTTTATCCTGATCTCCGGCTTGGGCCTTTGCCCCCATTCGAGCTCGAACATTCGGATCAGCTCTCCCAAAGGATTCTGCTGCAGGCGGACCTGTTCTGCTATGTAATCGTAATCGACTGAAATGAACGACTAGTGTTAGAGGAAATACGATTCCTTACGTTCAGAAGGATTCGACCATTACCGTGGACCAGATTGAATCGCTCGGCCAAATATTTCGCCAACGTCGTGCATCCAGATCCCCTGGACCCAATCAGCGCGATACGAAAGAGAGACGGAGCTCCGTTGTGTCTCTTAATCTTCGCCAGTTTCGCGCAGTCCTTCCCGAGCTCGTCCATGGTTCTAACTCCGACCTCGACTTCCTGTCGATGAACCGTTTAATCGTCGAATAGATTGCTCTTAACGCTAGAACTACCGAGCATTTAATTTGCACTCGAGAATATTTTTTTCAACAAACATTCATTATCTGATGAAATATCAATGATATGTTTTACAACTAACATAAAGAAATACCTTGCGTAAATTAAGTAACAAACCTATCTTATTTCGATGTTCCCTGTGTTGATGCATTGTATAAAAATTTAATATTGAATTCTAAGGAAAGGCGCCTCTCGAGTGCAAAGGGTTAATACGATTAATATGTCATCCGTGTAAAAATTGTGACAATAGATTACTGTCAGTTCTTTTAGACATTCTTTATAGCAGTGAAATGAAACTAATTTTCAAGATCATTTCAATTATTGAATGCTTTTGAGATATCAATAATTGCGAAACAAAAAGATCAAAGCAGTCATTTTGACTGTTACGGTAGTTCCAGTGTTAATTACAAATTCGCGTCGAAGACTGACTATCAAACAGCTCGCGTACGCCTCCTTCAGTCCTCGTAAACATTTCTCGTAACGATGTTGCTCCGATTTTCCCGTCGAATCGATCGGTTTGTACAGACGACACGTGCTGTCGTTTGTACAAACATTCTCCCAATTGTCTACGAAGAAGAATTACGCTAACTATATAGCTGAAACAATTCGTTTTTATCTGTATACCTAATTCCTTTGAGATCGTTAACTGTATCACGTGCGTTGGTATTATTCCGGCGCGCTGGAACACTCGTGCTTCCTTCTTCGTTCTTGGCAAGTCTAAACAATGTAGCAAAATATTCTTTTTAACACGCTGAATGTCATGGGGGTCACTGGTGACCCCCACCAAATCAAATTACTACAATTCACTCAATTAAACGATGATTCTTTGAAAACATTTCTATGTTATGAATGACGCTGCCTAATGCGGTGACATTCAGTCAGATCAACGTGCAACAACAACAACAATAATAATAATAATAGTAATAATAATAGTAATAATAATAATAATGCAACTCAATCAAATGATTTAATATTATATCCTCCCCATTTTGTGTTTTGCTCTACGAAATTATGCGGCGTTCGACGTGTTAAGCTAATCAGACTATCAAAAGAAAAAATATTGTCGCAGAGAAATGTAAATTTGAAAGAATAGTCTGAAAGTTTCTGATTTTTACCAACGAGAATCCATCCGCACGCGTGCAGAGCGTCGGTCTCTAAAATCTTTTTCATGGCAAACGCGAGATCCTCTGATTCCGCGCAATGACAGGTCTCCTAAGGAAAGTGTCGATCATTAAGAGTTTATTGCTTCGAACGTAAAGAAAGATCGGTTGGCTATTTTACGTTGTCCTTTTCGCAAACTTTCCGCAGCTCTTTCACCGTGAACGGATGAACACCTAACTCGTCGCGAAGAGCTTCGGCTAGAGCCGTCCTGTCTGCATGGAAATAATATTTCTCTTTTATAAAAATATCCCGAAGACTCGTTTCCATTTTTTGCTTGTTTTACCGAACGCTGGTGGCGCGATTAGAATAATCTTGACGGCGTCGAGTCTTTTCGCGACATTCTCGAGGTATTGTTTAATAAATACAATATGGTCTTCCGGTTCGTGAACGACCAATTCAGTCGCGATGTTCTGTGGAGACGATTTCAAGAATTTTACCGATCGAAAGGATCGAAATCGGAAATATTGGTTAGAGATGTGAATTGGTTATTTACGTGAAATAGTTCGTATATTCGATGTTTCTCTAAGTACGCTACAAATCGTGCGTTCGTTAATTGTAGTCTATTCTCTGTTTCTTGTAATTTTGACATTTTGGTCTGTTCTATTCTTTCATAGACGTAAGGAATGGTGGTTTATTTGTTGCATGAAAAAAGTTACTCATAGATCGTTTATGATCGAGTTAAAAGTTTCTTATTGGTTATGCAAGAATTAGAAACAGCAATGTCCAGTGAAAGTGAGACATTGGATACTGCATTCATTTCATTGCCCGTTTAGAGCATCGATCAATCAGGGTACACGAAGAATAATAAAATACCTATGAGTCTCAGGGTTTACCTTTTCTTCTTTATTTTTTCCATTATTGATTTTCATTGCATTTTCTTCGTGGATTCTCATACGATTGCTGCATAGACGGTTATATATGCACACAGAAAACCGCAGTATGATAAAATATACTGTTGGCTGGATGGCGCCACGTGTTTCACGATTTTCCTCATTGCCAGGCATTGCCGTGAAAGTATGGAGAGTGAGGTTGGGTGAACCAGGTGAGCACGTTTCAGCATGTCAACTGATAAGAAAGTCTCGGATGTCACGGAAAAGATATCCGAAATGGGCGTGGAGGAGCCGGGAAGGAAGCTAACTCATAAGGAAAAGAAGAAACTTAAGAAACAGCAGGAATATGAGAAAACGATGGAAATGTTAACCAAGACCGGTGGCCAGGGTCACAGCGAACTCGAAAGCAATTTCACCGTCTCCCAGTCTCAGACTCAACAACGCACTAATCAACAATTAGAGAATGCCGTCGACATCAAGGTAGAGAATTTCAGTATTGCTGCTAAAGGGAAAGAGCTCTTCACCAATGCCAGCCTCTTGATAGCCCAGGGAAGACGTTATGGCCTGGTAGGGCCAAATGGGTATGCACTTTTGAATGATCGATGAAACAAGCATACCTCTTATAGCATGTAACTGTGTGTAATTGTAACTTACTTTTCAGTCATGGAAAAACTACTTTATTGCGTCATATAGCGAAAAGATTATTTGCCATTCCTCCAAACATAGATGTTTTATATTGCGAACAAGAAGTTATTGCTGATGATACACCAGCTGTTGAAGTAGTACTCAATGCAGATGAGAAATGTAAAGAATTGTTGACAGAATGTAAAAAATTAGAGGGATTAGTGGAGCAAGGAGACACATCTGTTCAAAGTAGATTACAAGAGGTATTATTTTTTCTGTACTGTAATGAACATTGTAATCTGTATACACATGGTATATTTAAAAAAATGTATTCTATATAGGTTTATGAGGAGCTGAAAATTATTGGAGCAGATTCTGCTGAACCACGTGCTAGGAGAATTCTTGCTGGTTTAGGGTTTAGTCGTGCTATGCAAGATCGTGCAACAAAGAATTTCTCTGGTGGTTGGCGTATGCGTGTTTCCCTTGCAAGAGCACTTTTCTTAGAACCTACACTATTATTGCTTGATGAACCGACAAATCATTTAGACTTGAATGCTGTTATTTGGTTAGACAATTACTTACAAGCTTGGAAGAAAACACTACTTATTGTTTCTCATGACCAGAGTTTCCTAGATAATGTGTGCACAGATATAATTCATTTAGATCAACAGAAATTGTTTTATTATAAAGGAAATTATAGTATGTTCAAGAAAATGTATGAGCAGAAAAGAAAGGAGATGATAAAAGCATATGAGAAACAAGAGAAGAGACTTAAGGATCTTAAATCTTCAGGTCAGAGTAAAAAACAAGCAGAGAAAAAACAAAAAGAAGCTTTGACTAGGAAACAAGAGAAAAATAGAACGAAAATGCAAAAACAAGAAGATGATAATTCGCCTGCAGAATTATTACAGAAACCAAGAGAATATATAGTCAAATTCAGTTTCCCTGATCCACCTCCCTTGCAGCCGCCTATTCTTGGTCTTCATAGTAAGTTCAATACTGAATTGCAATATCATATTGCATAAGCATGCACTAAAGGAATGTTTTTCAGACGTGACATTTCAATACGAGGGACAAAAACCATTATTTATTGAAGTCGACTTTGGAATAGACTTAAGTTCCAGAGTGGCTATAGTAGGACCTAATGGTGTGGGTAAATCTACATTTTTGAAGTTATTAACCGGTGACTTACAGCCCCTGAAAGGAGATTTAATAAGAAATCATCGATTGGTAAATATTGCGTTAGATAGGTTCACCGTTTTAACAAGGGTTTCATGGACTAATCGTATTTATTGTTTTCAGAGAATCGGAAAGTTCGACCAACACTCTGGTGAACATTTGACCGCAGAAGAAACACCGGCAGAATATTTGATGCGTCTATTTAATCTTCCGTACGAGAAAGCTAGAAAACAATTAGGAACATTTGGATTAAGTTCTCACGCACACACGATCAAAATGAAAGATTTATCAGGAGGTCAAAAGGCGCGTGTCGCGTTAGCAGAGTTGTGTTTAAATGCCCCTGACGTTGTAATTTTAGATGAACCGACAAACAATTTAGATATAGAATCTATTGATGCCTTAGCCGATGCTATCAATGAATATAAAGGCGGAGTAATTATCGTTTCTCACGACGAGCGTTTAATTAGAGACACGGAATGTTGTTTATATGTAATCGAGAACCAGCAAATTAACGAGATCGATGGAGACTTCGATGACTATAGGAAAGAATTATTGGAAAGTCTTGGCGAAGTTATTAATAATCCAAGTATAGCTGCAAATGCGGCTGTTCTACAGTGATCACATTTGCCTTCATTGAACTGTTTTTCGATGGCTTGTATAATTGATCCTTTTTAAAATGAATACTCATTCAGATCATCAAATATATTTTATGTAATCGGTTCCCTCTCCATAAAATCAATTTTTATTATAGATTTTAAAATGCGGTCTTCAATGTTTTTATTGCGACAGAGTACTTCGTTTACAATTCAATATGAAATATGTTAAAATAAATATCAAATCTGTTACTAAAATATCTTTGTCTTGTAACAAATCCACTATCCATGAATTGCTATTTGAATCAGAAAGGTACGATCACTCTCGATGTGATTTGTAACGCGTGAAGTGCAATTTCCGAATTCTTTCGATTTAATCAATGAAAAGAATTATTCGAGTCTACAAGAAATGTTTGTATACGTATATAGCGAGTTCTGTATAGAATTGTATTTTGTATCATAAATATTTAACTCGTATTTGATCGACAAAAATAAAAATCATTAACAAAGTGGGATCTAATTAAATAACTTTCTGCGCATTTATTTTCTCTTTGAATAATAAATTTATTGATCTATAAATAGAGTATGCAGTAAGTACGTATTCTTCGAAAGGGACTAAAAAAATTTTCTTATCAGAGATTTTTCTAGTGATTTCTGAGAAATTGAGAGAGAGAGTTGGTTCTACTGAACTGCGTATAACCGGCGGCGCAATGTTCGCTGCCAAAACGGGCAGACGAGTGATGTGAAAATTGTCAAATATTTTGTGCGAGGTGGTGTCCCGCGGTGAACTTAATAGTGATCCAAAAGATCGTCGCGATGTCCAGTACCCTGGAGAATAAGATTTTAAATTTGCAAGAACGTCTCAGGGCGGAAAATGAATCGAGGGACAGAGACAGACAGAGTAACGAGGTTGGACCAGGAACGGGCCTTCAGTCGTCATCCACGGGAACTGTCTCAAGTCCTGCCTCTCGACGTGAGTTTAACTTTAATATTTCTCACGTTCATCTTTGTACTTTTCTCTTGTCTTTGTTCCAATGCGTTTTAAACGCATTCACATTCTTTGCCACTTGTCGTATAGGTTATGTTGACCATCACAATTTATTCTGTTGATTCTATATACGATACACTTTTGATCTACTTGTTTAACGCGTAGTTTATTTTATTCAAACTATTTACAAATTAATGTTTCCAAAAACCGATGTTTCTCCGTTGTAACCGACGGATCGTGCTTTAAAATATTCGCAAAAACCGTTTAAACGGATATTATAAACAAAAACAATACTCTTATTTGTTATTTAATGCAAGGTCCTTTCCGTATCGTGTCGATAAAAACAAATACCTTTTCTTATTTTTTAAACTATGCGAGATTATTTCTTGTTTATGATATATCTGTTTACTTCTAGCATTACAAATGTATAATTTATAATTATGATAATAAAGTTTTCAGATTATATGTATTTATAGACAGGCATGTAAACAATGTTTAATCTTTTTAATGCAGCTCCAATTCCGACTCTGAAAGTCTCACAGATACCTCCAAAGAAACAAGACAGTGAATTTGAGTCAAAGTTACAGGAAATAATGAAGATGAACGGTATTTTAAATATCAATGGACAAAGGTATCATACCGATATGAAAGATTTAGAACACCTAGGTGAATTAGGAAATGGTACCTGTGGGCATGTTGTTAAAATGAGGCATAAACCTAGTGGTGTACTAATTGCTGTAAAACAAATGCGACGTTCTGGTAATGCAGAAGAAAATAAAAGGATAATTATGGATCTTGATGTTGTGTTAAAATCACATGATTGTCCATATATTGTGCAATGTTTGGGATGTTTTATAACAGAATCTGATGTATGGATTTGCATGGAATTAATGGCAACTTGCTTAGACAAATTATTGAAGAGAACTAGACAGGCGATGCCTGAAGAATTTTTAGGAAAAGTTACAGTAGCTGTAAGTGGTAGCTTGAAATTCGATTTCAGTTGTACCAGAAATAATAATAAAATAAATATTTCACTTTTGTAGACAGTAAAAGCATTATCCTACCTAAAAGAAAAGCATGGTGTAATTCATAGAGATGTGAAGCCCAGTAATATTCTTCTTGATGAAAGAGGAGGAGTGAAGTTATGCGATTTTGGTATATCTGGCAGATTAGTTGATAGTAAAGCAAAAACTAGAAGTGCAGGATGCGCCGCATATATGGCTGTGAGTACAATAATTTTGCATTATAACATGAACTTATAACATGTAGAATATGTTTTTCACATGCTCTTTCAGCCTGAAAGAATAGATCCTCCAGATCCTACAAAACCAGATTACGATATAAGAGCAGATGTATGGAGTTTGGGTATTACTTTAGTAGAATTAGCTACAGGAGTATTCCCTTATCGAGATTGTAAGACTGATTTTGAGGTAAACATTGTACATGCAATAGTGCTTTGTATACTTAAGATAGATTAAGATATCTACTATATTAATATTTTACTTTTTAGGTACTGAGCAGAGTGGTACAAGATGATCCTCCATCCCTTCCATCAGATGCATCTTTCTCAAAAGAATTTAGAAGCTTTGTGAGTTGCTGCCTTACAAAAAATTATAAACATCGTCCGAAATATCACAAACTTATGGAACATCTTTTTATTCGTAAATATGATGTACCTCACGACGAAGAAACAAACTCTTCAGTCTTAAATTCCGGCTGCCAATGGTTTGGCAGAGTTATGCGACAGTTAGAGCCAAGGTAAACTGTTAATCACCGATCTTGTCGTAAACAGTAAAATGTAGTTTTCACGTACATAGAATAGTATCGAGTGATAAAAGATATATTACATCACGAATTATGGTAGATACACATGTTAGAAAAGACCATTCTATAGAAGTGAATAGAGTTTAAAAACATAGCATGAAATTCCCAACTAATATCATAATGATTTGGTTTGGTTTGAGTATAACCGGGTATTGTCTCTTATATTAGTTTTAAAAGAATTTTTAACACACTTCAGTATTCCTGGTTAATGGGTAGGTATTTAAAGCAGCACGAAAAATTATGCTGAGTTTTAAAGTTGGGTTTTCGTTGGACGTTAGTTTTTTTTTTAATTATATT